CAGCTTTCTCTCCTTTATGAGTGATTTTGTCCTTTTACTGACTTTTTCCTCCCTTAACTCCAATAATTTTACTAGAATGTGTCTCTGTTGCTTTGGATGGGTCAATTTTCTTTTAAAATATGCAGTTTAAAATTCTATTTCAGATAGGATTTTCATGAATTATTCTTTTTCGAAATTGTTCTGTTTCCTTCCTTTGATTTTCTTCTTTGAGGGTTGAGAGCCTATCAAAAGTGGAACAGTTTTGAACAGCTGCTTGAGGGGCTTCAACATAGGGATGAACAAATAAAGAATTGCCAATGGGTACTTAAGGCTGAATTCAGATTAAATGGCATATATTTGTAGTGGAGCCAATTTTGTATTGCAGAACTCAGCAGATACAAATGAAACAGATGTTTGGGTATGGTGGAAAGGCAGGTGGCATAGAAGGGCAAGGGGTTGAGGGATTCTATACTTGAAGTATAGCTGAAATAGTTACCAACATATTAACTGCACAAATAAGTGAAAAAAAATACATGCAGGTATTTCTGGAACAGTTTCAATTTATTACTATTTTATTTCAAATAAAGGGAATGCAAATGTCTGACTAAATGGGGGTTAATTCTTACTCATTTTTTAGAATATTCATAATACACTAGCAAATCAGAAAAGAAAATCTTGATAAACCATCTGTCCCAATTTTTGGTTTGAAAAAAAAAATTCCATATCTGTATGTTATCAGCCAGGCCATAAAAATAGTCCCATATGGACTTTTTGTTATGCAGTAATAATATCACTGAAAACAGTACCTGGGAGTGAGAATCCTTTTGCTGGAAATTCCTATTTGTCAGTCACATTGGCTGGTTTCATATGTCTCAATAACATTATTTCTACTAAGTTTTAGGTCTGTGGCACTGAAAGTATCACTCACTAAAAAAATGAGGAAAGTCGATCTTTGTTCACAGACTACTTTCTTAAGTGGAAATCCTTCAGTTTCTGGGTATTTTCTATGTTTACACTCAGCTTAAGGTGGTAATAGACAAATGTGTAATGTTAGAAAAGTGTATTGTTTTATTGGTCCCTCTTTTCCTCATAGAAGTGGTAAAAGGGCACCTTGGTCAAATACCATTTTATTCTCCTTGAAGTTTCCCGGTGTTCCTCTTGCTACATCTGACACCACTGATGCTTATTGATTGATTGGCTTTCTTCGCCGCTTTCCCCTAAGCAGTTAAATAAGAGCAATGTAAGGAGTTAAGATACTGATGTGTTCTCAGATAGAAATATTTATGTCCACATGATCGTGCCTTGAAAAGCGGAGAAGGGAGGAGGGAGCTACACATCAAATCTCATCCATATAGCCAAAGGAATTCTGCAGTCAACTTTAGAATCTCACATGAAATTTTATTACTTCCAGCTACCCGCTCTTGTTCCTTCTGTTACTACGAAGTCCTTTCTTCTTTTGGATCGCCTCCCTTGCAATTGTCCAGGCAGTAGCCATTTCTTGCTGGCCTTGACGAGGATGGTGAAATGGAGTTGGAATGCACTGCCGTCAGCCAAACAGGACCGTAAAGTCAGCTTCTTGACAAATTTGCCCAGTTTGCAACAATCTGCTTCTAAAGGATCTCAACCAATTTCTGTCCCTCTCTATTTTTAAGGTGTCTTTTGCTGCTACTGTCCACAGATGGCTGTAGGATGCTGATGTGTTCACCAGGAATACCAGTGCCTGAACTCTTTGTTGGACCAAGGCGACGTTGCAGATGCTGCATCCCTCGTTGTGACAATGCCGCAGATGCCCGCACTGAGAGTACTGACACTGTATCAGAGGCAACGCTGCCAAAGCTGTTGGCACCCATTCTGCTGATTCTTTGGTTTTCAATGTCCTTTGGAGATTTACTCTGTCCATTGCAGCCTCCTTGCTAAAAGTTCCAGACTTAAGTCTCTGAGGCCTGGCCTAAAATACAATCTGATATACACCGTGCTATACTTAAAATCTACTTCCCCTCATCCTTAAATACTAATTTATTTTCATTGAATCAGATTTGTTCATCTTCCCATATGATTCTTTCCCAGAAGAATCCTTAGATCCTAGCATAATATCCTTTCCAGTGCCTCCCCCCCCACCGTTATCCTGATAATGCTCCAACGACACCTGGAGCCCCTGCTACAGTCTTCTCTTTCCCATTAACCCCAGTAAAAATTGTGCTGTCTTTATTAAGAGTCTAACCCCACCCAATAATCAGCCTGAGTAATTGACACTCCTTCCGGTGAGAGCTTACATGATACTAAAGCATTGCGAAGAGAGAAAAGTAGTTCACACAAGTTGCCATAGCCTTGTTGCTGCTGTCCCTGTCTGATGACTTATAGGGCCCAGCAGGAAGCTGCTGTTCAGCCCCTCCTTGGGACATGGTAATCTATCTATTGGGACATTGATATATTTTATGAGATTCCTTATGGTCCTATCTTAGACACACATCCCATAGCCATTTCCTTTCTGGAGTCATGAGACCTCACTATCCACACTGCCAAGAATCAGGATGCAGGCCTTTGTTTTTGTTATCCACATACTTCTTGCTTTCCTTTTCCCCTCTTAGCTCAGGGAACTATCCAGACTGTGGGAAAAAACCCAGTCACCCCACCATTCACAAACTCTGTGAGTTAATTTAATTCAACATACTTCTCCCGTCTAGCTCAGCTGGGGTGGGGGTAGGATGAGGTTCATAGGAGCATTTTAAATACTCTTAGAAAGCCTTGGATGGGTATCTAGCAGCTGCCTGATGCTTTTTAACGAATTTGTATATGTGGAGAGGTAGTGTACTCTTCCTATCCTCAGCTTTAGGATTTTCAACTGAAATTATGACAAAGAAGTCCCATTTATAAATCTGTAAATCTTCATCAGTAAGTGTCAGTCTTCCCCCTGGGTATAACAAAAGTGCATGTACTTCCCTTACTCTTACCTGTTGTTTTAGGAACAGTCCTCTTCCACGGCACACTCTCCAGCATCCTGAAATATAGGTGTGCTTAATGTGATCTGGGATGGATAGCACTGTGGGACTACCCCAAGAGGAGTGCTGATCAGAGATGATGAGAATAACAAAATAAGGAAGCATTTTAGTCATTGTATAATAGGACAGACCAAGACTACGTGCTTAAGTTTCTCTCATTGATCTAGTCACTAATTAGTGTAAATAAGTCAGTTGTTAAGGTAGAATTCCGGGGGAGAAAGCAAGGGCTCATGGCCCGAGATTAAAAACACCTTGCTAGGGATAGTAAAGGAAGGCAGGAGGTTGGCACTGTGGAGAATACAGGCAATAGAGTGCTTTGAAAATAGCAGGTGACTACAGTATGCAGTACTGCTCATTAGGGGACTGTGTTACTAGGTGGAGATCATGCTTAGTTTGGCTTTCAGATGCTGTGAAGCACATAGTTCCTAGAAAACGTGGGAATGAAAAGATTTGAAATACGTGTAGCAGACCTTATGGGTAAAAGCCAATGACTTGGGCTTATGTTTGTATGTGGCAATACTGCAAATGTTTGAAATTTTGCAAGAAGACAGGAGTGTCTGAAAAACCACTCAGAGAGGAGACAGTGTGAAGAGGTGTATTTTCTCAAATGTAAGGGGACCATCTGATTGATTGATTGATTGATTGATTGATAGACTTTCTTTTTCTCTAGCATCACCTGAAGTTGCATAGCAAGCCAGGGTGGAGACTCCCTGACCAATGTCTACCTGCAAACTTTTAATGACAGTGCCCTGCAACCCTTGGGCCCAGCTGACTGATTCTCCTTTGGACAGCCCCCTCAGTTTTTGGAGCAAGGCCAAAGGAAGCAAACCAGAGTTTCAAGGGAGCCTTTTGCATACCATTCAACTGGAAAACCCCACACTAGGACTGTCTCTGTGTCACACATGTGACAATGGTCACAGCACTCAGGGTGAGGCCAAGGCCCTGGTAGTAATTTTTTTTCTATAGTGCTTGTCCACTGGACTCTGGACAGTGAAAATTGATGAGCTGTAATCATCTGGAAGTCCAAACTTGGTAAAGAAGACACTTGAGATAACTTCAGTTACAATCATCTAACTAGAGATCTTGACAGAGCTACCAGCCAGATCATTGTCTCTTTTTCTCTTCGTTTTCACAATGCTCTATACTCAGTAAAGTCTAATTCAATTGGATCTTCATGAGGATGATGACTTATTCTAGATTTCTGTTTCCTGTGCACCTGTAACACTTTCTATAGTGACCAATTTATGCTCTTTCCATGATTTGAAGATATTTTTGAAGGTAATACATACACAAAAGTACTTTTCACTAGCATCCAGAAAAACAGATGCATTCTGATCCTTAGGACAGGCCACTCATAGGTTAAATGATCAGTCCTTATGAGTACTTTGGAACTCCAAAGGAAAATCTATGTGCTCTACCTTTGAGCGATGTGCACAGTAATGCTATGGATGTTTTCTATTATAGAGTCACCAAATTGGGAGGAGTGTCTTGTTAAAAGATGCATAATATCTAATTTAATACTTGAATATATTTTAAGCTAAAACCAGAGTCTTACACTAGTTCTTGGGTGCTTTCTCTTCTTGGTTGGCCAAAGTAAGGCAACACTTTTTCTAAGAATCATCCTATCTGACCATTTTTCTATTTCCACCCTGATCATGCCTGAATATTTTCCATGGTCTATGCTGGCAACAGAAGTCTAGATTATGAAAAGGGTATTGGATATTGGGTGCACTGTTTTTGCCTGGGAAATGTTTTCTATAGGGGAGTGGGCACCTAAATTAAGCTTTTGCTATGGTCACATTTAGTTCTTGGTTACTGTTGTGTATTCTGACTCTTATGGTGTAGGGACAGAGTAACATTTTTGTCTCCTAATGTTTAACTGTAACTTTTTTTCTTTTTCTATTCTTTTTTTCTATTTTTTTTAAATTGAAGTATAATTGATTTACAATGTTGTGTTCATTTCTGGTGTATAGTGATTCAGTTATACATGTATATATTCTTTTTCATTATAGGTTATTATAAGCTATTGATGGAATGGAATCATGAGAGATTTGGTATGGCAGTAATTCAACCTCAGAGGGGCTCGTGAGTTTATCCTAGACTGCAACATGTTACTATCTCTTGATCTGGGACAATGGAATAAGTAGAAAATGGGAGAGGATGATGCTTCTTACACATTTTTGAGAAGGTAGTTACTTGGCTTTATATTTTATTTACTTAGTCAGTTACTTAGGTATGCATTTTGATTATTAGGTTGACTCATCTCTGGGGAGATCTATGTTGTTAGAACTTTAAATTTCAAACAAATGATTGAGTTGACAAAAGGATAGACTTTGCAATCCTACATTTTACAGAGAAGCTAAATTTTGAAGTAGCATGACTCTGGCAATGTGTGTGTTTCTTGCACATATTATATATAGCACTCTGGTAAGTGAGGACAACATATAATGTGAAGTAGGAAATAGAATTAAAGAGTGACTTCTAGTGTATACTTTGGACTTGAGGTAGATCATTTCTGTGGATTCCAGGGGCAATAAAATTGCAGAAACATATGCATTCAATTAAGTCCAAATTGAATTGAATCTTTGGTTTAGTTACTCATTTTCTTAGGTCATTCATTCAGTACATTTATTGAGCACATATGTGCCAGGCTCTTTGCAATCCATCTGTGAACAAAGGACAGAAATTTCTGTTTTTGTGAGACTTATGTTCTAGGTCCCAGGAAGATACATAGAAGCAAAAGCAAAGACTCTAACTGTAGCTTTGAGATCTCATTTACTATCATCACAAACTGTAAGGTCTACATTATCATTTTCCTTTTACAGATGAGGATGCTGGGATTTAGAGATGCTAAGTGCCATGGGCTAATGGCTGTTGTGTGTGCATGGTGGTGGGAGGATTAAGCCTTGGCAAGTGTCTAGATGACCTTGTTGCCTGGAGATGCAGAAAATCTGACTTTTATTTGATAACTGCTGGCAAGCGGAGGAAGGTCAAGTACGACTGAGGCTGTGGATGAGCATCATTTTGTTTTGCCATGTTTCTAATACATACGTTTGATTTTTAGAACATTAGAGCAGAAAAAATATCTTAAAGACTCTACAGTTCTATGTTCTTTAAACCACCAGTCGCCATCCTTACTGGAATATAAAGTCAGTTTCATGGGTCACAACAAGCAATATTTTTAAAAACAGCAAATAAAACAAAAGCTATCAGAGTCTCTCCCCCATAAGTAATGGTGAATACTGGTCTGCAAAGAGATATTTCAGACTTCTGGACAAGAAATCTGGTCTCCTTGTAAAATGTATTTCTTATGTAGATCATACTCAACAAAATTTAAAAGTCACTTCTCCAGCCTAGAATGTCCACTTCACTGATGAGGAAATTGAGTGGGACAGTGACTTGCCCAAGGTCACACAGTTAGGCATATTATACAAATTAAGGTTGAAGAATGTTCAGCCAGCAGGAGGGAGGCTCTAAAATGACTTAATGCATACAGGTACATACTTTAACTAACTATAAGACACTATTCTTTTTTAAATATAGGAATTCTTTCCTCTCACTACAAAAAGAAGGAAAAACAGGTTACCATAGGGGAGCTTCCCTTTTATTACTATCTTCACGTGGCTAATATTTAGTTATCTGAGACAACAATTTTTTTTTCTCTTGAAGCAGGGTACTTGTAGTTAGGAAGCCCAAAGTTTTAAGGCTTCCCCTTCTACCTTGGACACACCAGAAGACATCAGTGGGAGCAGGCAGGATTTTGTTATTTCCTACCCTGTATAGAGTGGAATTGATGGACCACACATATTCCACCTGGGAAGCTGGGCAAACATGGTCTGACTTCAATGGGTAGGGTTATGGAAAGAAACCTAACAGCGAGACTGAGTTCATTCAGATCCAGCACCAGAGAGTGAGAATTTGAGTAAGAAAGACAGGCCTTTAAAAGGAGAGATGCAGGTCGTTGGCCCAGTAGGAGCAGAGCCTGGTCACAGACAGCCTGTCCCCAGTGTGTTTGTGGTTTTCCTTTGCATCCAGCATCACTGTGTTCTCCACACAGGCACAGAGCAGATGGGGCTCTCCTAGCATGATGGGTGATGACTCTGTCCCATCTCTTGACTCTGTGTGTTTTCCCCTGAACGTCATCTTTTTCTAGACCTGTTATGGATCAGTTCCTTTCTTATTCTCGCACTACAATGTGCCAGGTCCACTGGACAGGTGGGCCTCCTTGTTCGGAGAGGTGGGGATCCCAGGTGCCTAAGAGACATATCCCCAGTGAACATGGCCCTTGGCTGCTCTTCCTGTGAGAGTCAGTCCTCTTGACAGATCTACATCTGTGCCAGGCAGGTGTGGAAGTCCTGCTGCCTTCTGAGTGAGAACTCCTTCCAGCCTAGGCATTCATCGCAGATCTGGTCCTAGGAAGGGTCTGATCTGTGCATCCCTGAAGAAGTACTACAGATTTGGGCAATGGGAGGAGGAGCAGGCACGTGATGTGAAAGGTTCAGAGAGGCTCCGGATTCTGTCTCAGTTCACAGAAGCTTCTGATGCCTTGGCCTTGACCATTAGCACCTGTGTGGCACCAGGAGCCAGCCCAGGTGTGGGTCTTCCTAGTGAAATGGTACTCAAAATTCTCCCTTGAGCCCCTGAGATTTTCTGCAGGCCTTGCTTTAAGAGCTGAGGAGGCTGTCCAGAGAGGGGTCAGCTGGACGAGGGGCTGGGGGCTCTGTCATGAAAAGATCACAGCATAGGGAGACATTGGTCAGGGAGTCGCCACCCTGGGTGACCATGTGATTTTAGGTGGTGCTAGAGAAAAGAAAAGTCTACCAAGAAAAATAAATCTAGTAAATTAATTTTTAAATGCTTTGACATACCATAGGCAGTCCCACCCCAGTCATATATAGTAGTAATGTGCTTCATTTCCTAGGTCTTTATGGTTGTCATTTGGTCCTAAGCACAGATACTAGAAACAAAATATAGATTAACAGAAGGAGATCAGTACAGGCCTGAGAGACCCATAGGTAGAAGAAAAATTTAGCACGCATTGAACCAGAAGGACAAGTGGGACAAGGATTCAATAGAATATGTCAAGACACTGGAACAAGTTTGCAGAATGCACATACAGCAGTGAACTATCAGTGATAAAACATTTAAACTTTTTAATGAAGTATGCTGGGTGTTCGGTCTAAGTAACTAAAAGACAATATTCTCTGTTAAACAATAGGAATTGTTTCCACTTACCACAAAAAGGAGGAAAATAAAAACAAGCTTCCACATGGATCCCTCCCAGTCACACATGGTGCCTTGTCAATGACTAGTTAGTTCCCTGAGGATCCATGATTTTTTTGCACTTAAGGTGAGATCTTCTTAATTAGGCAGCCCAAGAGTGTGAAGGCTGTCAGGAAGGGAGTCAGTTGTCTTGACCAAGGGTGTAATAGGACAGATAATGGAAAAGAAGTCTCTGACTTTACAGGACCCACAGGGGATCCATCACCTTGCCTGATCCCATGACACACGCTGCAGTCCAAATTGAAGAAACAAACTAGCGAAAAAATAACTGTGAAAACTAAATAAGAGGTGAATGTTGGCCAAAATAGCAAAGGATGTTTGAATATTCCCTCCTCCATAAAAGCCATGAGAAAATAGGTAAAAGGTGTCAGAATCAACTTTTTGAGCTCCAGAAATTAACAAAAGGCTAATGGCAATTTTGGAAATGTTTATTCAAGAAAAAAAAGTCTGAATCTTGATTAGAACAGTGAGCTTGTGGTGTTTAAATCCCTTTTATTTACATCCCATCCTTTCCAGCTCTGTGGTAGTCTTGAAAACCAGTAGTTCATAATCACAATAAAAACCAAGAAGATGGTGGCACTGGAGGGAGCAGGACAGTGTGGGAACTCCTTAAAAGCCTCACACCCAGAGAACTGCTATTATTTCACTGATCTTGGAATGCCTCTACTTGCAAGGATGTACCCAGAGCTCATAGTGCTAAAAATCTTTTTGTTGGGGGTATTTGTCAAAAATATTTACAGGCATTGTTTAACTTTGGGATTACCTTAAATAGTGGATAACAGGTGGGGCAAAAAAATTTTTAAAAATAGGCTCACCAAAAACTTAAAATGAAAAGCTGGAGAATGAGTTGTCCAAATAAACTTTGAAAAGCTCTGATATATCCCTAGAGTCTAGACGGGCACATACATGCCCAGGCTGTGTGCAGCTCATCAAAGATCTGAAAAAGTCCAAAGCCCTCACCTCTGGCTGACCTGGAAGGATCTTTGCAAGCAGGAAGGGAAAACTGAGGCAGAATTTTAAATTTAAATTGCCTGGCTGAAGATTGAGGCACTATCTAGCATACACATGGAGCCCCTTGGCAAAAAAAAAAAAATGGGAGATTTTTTTGGTTCCAGGAATTTGAGGAAATCTCTGTTCAATTATTAGCTGGCCACTAAGCTAAATGAACAGAGACCTCAGTGGCAACACATAACAAAGAATATAGACTTTAAAGAACTAATTTAGAAAAGTCAATAATCAAACAAAAAACAAGAACTGCAACAGAAAGCAGCAACAACAACAAAAAAATTCTGTGCAGGGGAGAGGATGTGATTTCCAGGGTTGCTGCATTGTGTTATTTAAAATATCCACTTTCAACAATGACAAAAACGTGAGAAACAAAGTATGACCAGGCATTGAAAAAAAAGTAATCAATAGAAAGTCTTTGATGAAGCCCGGATTTTGTATTTGCTAGACAATCTTTTTAAATCAGCTCTGATAAATTTGTTCAAAGAACTAAAGGAAATCATGTCTAAAAGAACTAAATGAAAGCATGAGATTGGTGTCTCACCAAATAAAGAATATCAATAGAGACAGAGGTCACAAAAAAGAACCAAATAGAAATTATTGAGTTGAAAAGTACAATAACAGAAATGAAAAATTCAATAGAGGGGCATATTTCAGCATTCAGAGGAAAGAATCAGCAAACTTGAGGACAAATCAATGGAGAAAATCTAGTCTGAGAAACACAAGAAAAGAGAAAGAGAAAGAAAAATACCATATGATGTCACTTATATGTGAAATCTTAAAAAAAAAAGACAAACAAACTTACTTACAGAACAGAAACAGATTCACAGACATAGAAAACAAACTCATGGCTACCAAAGGGCGGGGAAGGGGTGGGAAGGATAAATTGGGAGTCTGAGA